TATTTTTTTTCCAGTTTTTTTCCATATGGGTTTGCAGATTTGCAACCTGTCAGGAGAAATGGGCCTTAAGGATAAAAATAATCATTTTCTTTCACATTCATTCACTTGTGCTGTAACTGCATCAGGAGTAATGTGTCCTTCCTTAACAATATACCATCCCTTCACAACGTAGTATATATGTACAGATAAATGCTGGTACTTACAAATTAGTACCATTTGACATTGAGTTCCCCCCACACACACCGTCTCTGATGCACTAGGACATTTATGTACATACATTTGCACTTATTGGTTTTCCCTCTGCTTAAATCAAAGGTGAAATCCAGTACAGCGGGAGGCAATTAGGGGATGGTTTGTCCTGTCAGTGCAGCCTTCACAGAGGCAGGTCCTTGAGAGTGGCATTTGGGGCAATGAATGGAAAAGTGTACTAAGCTATTACTCCTGCCACAGTCTGACCTACACAGACCTACCCCTCCAGCTAGCACACATAATCGTTAACCATCCTTGAGTTAGCTGCGACATACAGCATAAATCTGCTCTCCTTCGGGTTAATTATACCATCATTTACTCAGAATGTATTGAATGGGTTGGATTTATGCCAGCATAATCAAAGCAATGTAATATGATGTGCATTTTATCGCTTTGCTTTATGGTCAAGAGGATGTAAAACTTAACATATATCTTTTTTATTTATTTATTTTATTATTTATTTATTATTATAATAATAATTAATTATTATTTTTTAGATCAACTTGAAAACACAAAAAGTACATAACTGAGAGTTTAAATAAATATAAAATAAAATAATAACTGTACAGTGGTAATATCTATAATGTCTTAAATGGTGTCATCTTCCTTTAATATGCTTCCATATAATAACCAAGAAATGTCAACGTTTTATGGAACAAATACCTCGAAATATTGGTGCGGCCCTCCAAACCACTGTTAATAAGATGACAGCCTGGCAGGCAATAACCAGGGTGTAAATTACATATATCACCTCCTATATGTTCTAAAGCCTTGGGGTCACCAGGCTTAAAATGAAAGCACAGCAAGCTATAATGTGAACAAGAAAACAAAGCTGATTTACACCGGTTGTCTTGAAATTTTAGCCAGTTTACTAAAGATCTTTAATTACAAGAATATTGAAAAAAACTGTTGCAGGAAAGTAGAGAAGCCTGCTGGCTAAGTCTGGGATATTATGTTGTTGTTTCACTCCATAAAATAGTCACATCTTCATCTGTCACTATGGAAAGTAATGTTCAAGTAATTTCCCTTGTGGATCAGTAAAGTTTGTCTAAGTCTACGAAAATTATGCAGGACCACTGTACGCATCTTATAAATCCTATATGGTAATAACCAGTGTTGGGAAGGTGACTTTTAAAATGTATTCCCCTACAGATTACATACACCAAAATGTAGTTTGTAACAGAATCCATTAAATTACTTAAAGTGAGTAATGTAATCTGAATACTTTGGATTACTTGATTTGCTGTAGAGAAGCAAAGATGAGGAAATCGTAACATAAGATGTTTTGTCTGATAAAAGAAAATAAAAAGACCAGATTAAAAAATATTATTGATAGAAGAGGAACAGGAGGAGACACGGTCCATACAGCATGGTTTAGTCCTGTTAAATCCAGTTAAATCCTGGTTTAGTCCTGGTTTAGTCCTATTTTAGTCTCGGTTTAGTTCTGGTTTTAGTTCTGGTTTTAGTCCTGGTTTAGTCCTGGTTTAGTCCTGGTTTAGTCCTGGTTTAGTCCTGTTAAATCCAGTTAAATCCTGGTTTAGTCCTGGTTTAGTCCTGTTAAATCCAGTTAAATCCTGGTTTAGTCCTGGTTTAGTCCTATTTTAGTCTCGGTTTAGTTCTGGTTTTAGTTCTGGTTTTAGTCCTGGTTTAGTCCTGGTTTAGTCCTGTTTAGTCCTGTTTAGTCCTGTTTTAGTCCTGGTTTAGTTCTGTTTTAGTTCTGGTTTTAGTCCTGGTTTAGTCCTATTTTAGTCTCGGTTTAGTTCTGGTTTTAGTTCTGGTTTTAGTTCTTGTTTTAGTCCTGGTTTAGTCCTGTTTAGTCCTGTTTTAGTCCTGGTTTAGTTCTGTTTTAGTCCTGGTTTAGTCCTGGTTTAGTTCTGTTTTAATCCTGTTTTAGTCGTGTTTTAGTTCTGTTTTAGTGCTGTTTTAGTTCTGTTTTAGTGCTGTTTTAGTTCTGTTTTAGTGCTGTTTTAGTTCTGTTTTAGTGCTGTTTTAGTTCTCTTTTAGTGCTGTTTTAGTCCTGTTTTAGTGCTGTTTTAGTTCTGTTTTAGTGCTGTTTTAGTTCTGTTTTAGTTCTGTTTTAGTGCTGTTTTAGTTCTGTTTTAGTTCTGTTTTAGTGCTGTTTTAGTTCTGTTTTAGTCCTGTTTTAGTGCTGTTTTAGTCCTGTTTTAGTGCTGTTTTAGTTCTGTTTTAGTGCTGTTTTAGTTCTGTTTTAGTTCTGTTTTAGTGCTGTTTTAGTCCCGTTTTAGTGCTGTTTTAGTCCTGTTTTAGTGCTGTTTTAGTTCTGTTTTAGTGCTGTTTTAGTGCTGTTTTAGTTCTGTTTTAGTGCTGTTTTAGTTCTGTTTTAGTGCTGTTTTAGTTCTGTTTTAGTGCTGTTTTAGTTCTGTTTTAGTCCTGTTTTAGTCCTGGTTTAGTCCTGGTTTGAGTGGAATTACTGAGAGAATGAGAGCCTCGCACATCAACTACTAGAGACGGGTGCGTTGGAGGAGAGGGAGCAGCCCCAGAACATACAGAAAAATCCCGCACACCGTCTTACTTGCAAACTGTGAAATTTATTAGGACAAACCGTGCAACGTTTCGGCACTAGGCCTTCGTCAGGCAAACAGAATGAGAGCTCAGGTGGCCATCTTAAATAGGGTGTGGCAAGCACCCAAGGGTGACAGGTCATAAAGAAACAGTGCACACAAAACCCCATAATTCAAAAAACAAAGAGTCAACATATAGTGTAATAATAATACAAATAATAATAATGAAATCATCATATAACGATCATAGAATAATAAGAAGAATATATGGATACATATAGACATAGTACACATTCACCCAACTATAAAATAATGTTGTCGTGCCATATACACATCTATATATATACACAAGTGGTTGAGTGGAATTACTGAAAAAAAAAAAAGGGATATAGCCCAGGAAAATACCAGTGTAATCCATTTATTTCAACAAAGTAACTGTAATCCAATTACCACTCACTGAAACAGTAACTGTAACTGAATACAATTACTCATAATTTGTACTCTGATTACGTAACTCTGGTACATGTCATCTGTTACTCCCTAACACTGGTAATAACTTTGTTTGATAACTTTCTTCACGTGCCATATTAAAAGGTACAGGATTGAGATTTTCTGAGAATCATCATCTGCTTGTCTCCATGGTGTTACACCTGTAATCGAATACAAAACAGATGGTTCACTTTAACACCATACTGTGGAACATTCAGGCAGAGCAATAACATCTCCATGGAGACAAGTCACAAACTCTTACTTGAAAAGCTACATAGTGCACCTTTAAGTCTAAACCAAATCTTTTACACTAACAGGTTAATATCGTTTAAGATAAAAGTCTGTTTACAGTTATATTGGAAGTACTATTAATTAGACAGATGAGCATTTAAGAAAGACTACAGGCGAGTATCATTGTTGACAAAAGCGTGCATTGCATGCTGGGAATTATTTTGGTCAGCGGCAATAAACACTAATTCAACATAACGGACGGAGTGAGAAAGCACGTAAAGGGTATTGATCCCGGTTATTTCTCCACTCTAACAGCAGAGGACCCAAGACCATTTGACCAGAAATTGGTCAGAAGCATCGATGGAGCCACATCACCCTTTTCAACCCCGACAAAAGGACCAAACCACATTTCTGGTCAGAATCGTCAACTACCTGGACAAATATTCACTTCGGCGATATCCACAATGACTTGGTGGAAACTCCTGGGCCATTCACAACAGAAAAGATGAAAACCTCCAAGAGTCTCGATGTGTTGTTGAACTTGTTGGAGTCCACGGTTTGTTAGGATCTTCTACGTTTGCTCTGCGAATGTTTGAAAGCCGTTTAATTCACCGTTAGCGGTTCTTTTCACTCGGAATATGAAAAGACATTTTCCTTCTTCCGTGCTTCTATTTGTGCATCTGATAATGCAGCAGGAATTTACCATTATCGGGGATAAATACGTGAGGTTACGCACTGTGTTTGACCGCTACCGTGTTTCTTGCCTCCGACCAAAATATTTCCCAGCATGCAACGCGGGCTTTTAATAACAATGACGTCAGCTCAAACTCGCTTATAAATCAAGCTGTTTCTCACCTCCATTGTGAATTCAATATGTTGTGCTGAAAGCTGCTCTGCTAGTGTGACATAACATAGAAAATCACATCACCCCCTCCAGCCTCCTTGTCTTTGTTTCTGGTCCCTTATTATGCAAAACTAAAAACATACCTGGAGTTGTGTTTTGTTTTTTCCACACATTGTTTGAGTAACTTTTTTATTAGTCTATCTATATTTCCATAGCTCACAATGCTCGGGTTTCACCTTGTGATGTCATGGAGTGGTAGTATGCAAGTTAACAGTTCCCTTTTCACCCTATTGCCTTGCTGTTGGCAAATCCAGAAATTATGTAGTGAAGGTGTATGGAAACACATCAGCGCTCCACTGTGTATTAAAAACACAGTGGCACGCTTTCTTTATTACCACATGAAATCACAAAGTGGAACAAAGTGTTTTCAGTTTGAGAGAAGAACACAGCCTAAATGTGCAGAGTTTGTGTGTTAAACATGTGTGAATGAAACAAAACACAACTCAGTCACGCTTCTATCATGTGTGGTATCTATCAGAGTTTGTGATAGACCACATTATAACACACTAGTAGATCAGAAATAGCATAGTATAGGCACTTTTACTAACTAACACATATGTACTGTAGTTATCAAATAAATGCATAAACCTTTGTATCTTTTCTAGCCCCTCCTCACTTGACGGAGAAGCCCCAGGACCAGCAGAAGCTCATAGATGACTCTCTGGTTTGGGAATGTAAAGCCACGGGGAAGCCCAAACCATCTTACCGCTGGATGAAGAATGGAGAGAACCTGGAGCCCACCGAGGTGAGCCTGGAAAATAACAACAATCACTACTTAATCCGTGTTCATTTGAAATCATATCTGACCATCTTTAAAAGTATGATCATATGTTGAAAAAGTTCAGTCTAAAACATGGATTAACCCTCAGCTCTTAACATTGTACAAGTGTTAGGGAAAGGGAAATAAAGTAAATTGTGTTGATGTATTTATTCATTTAAAACTGAATTTATTTGAGCCTATTTTTGATTATTATATTATTATTATGGATTGATGTCCCTCTTAGTTTGTTGATTTTTGGCACAGATTAGAGTTTGAATAATGTATTACCGAAGTTCCTCTGTGCCGGTGCGTTTATTTGTCCTGGTTTGGCCCTGGTTTGAGCCTAGTTTAGTCCTGATGTAGACTGTGTTTTGTCTTAGTCCTGGTTTAGTCCACATTTAGTTCAGGTTTCGTTAGTTTAGTGCAGGGGTGCTCAATACGTCAATCCCGATCTACCAGTCGATCGCCAAGGTCGTGTGGGTAGATCGCCGTGTCTCGTCTCGGACTCACGTTTGGACTCGGTCTTGTCTCTCACTCGAGGTCTGACACTCAACAAGTGTGATCATATTTCATTACGGCTGCTGCTGTTGGCAATAAACTTGTAGCGGGGTGCAGGAGCGTGTGGGGCGTCTCAGTGCAGCCTGTGCGCTCATTTGAAACCCGCGGAGACTCTACGGCACATCACAAATACGCTCCCTATGCAACAGCGTGTGCCCTCGTGTACCAGCGTGCATCACAGGGCTGGTTCAACTTCCTAAACATCCTACCTGTCCATCTGCCTCACGTCAGCACGCCGCCCCTCGCCTTTTCACGCTCTCGCTCCTTCCTGCGTACAGCGAACACAAGCCCCTCCCACAGTGCGGCTGATTAGAAGAGCAAGACCAAACGTGAAGCAAAAACCAGTCTAAATTTGTGTTCCAGTGTTGGCACAAAGCAGGTCTACAGCATAGAGCGGATCTACAGAACAGACCTACTGCCACATTTGGCTGAAGTTTGCCTAACAAAAGTGCACAAATGCATCTGTGTTTGTCACGATGTGCGTTTGGTTTGGTAAACGTGCAGAGGCTGGTAAATATCACTGCAAAACCAGAAAAGAATGTAACTCCAGTTTGAAACTTTAAAAAACAGGTTTAAAAATCTTCCTTCACTTTTTTCACAGTTTTGTGTAAAGTGCCAGAGGAAGTTCTCTTAAAGAAGGGGTTCTCAAACTGTGGGTGAGGGTCCAAAAAAGGGGCACAGAGTGTTTCAGTGCAGTTTGCTTGGCTTTGTATTAGGTAGATCATTTTGACTTGGTCATTTTGTAAGTAGTGGTTTAGTGTATGAATGCATGCCATTTATGTTACCCTTTTTTATTACAGCCAAACTCATCTGATGCTGCAAGCTGCAACGCATTTAAATACTGAAAAAGCATTTGTTGTTATAATTAGACAGTGACTATTTTGTTTTCTTAACAAGTCTATGCATTATGGTTTCATGTTTGGTAAGAGGGAACATAGTGTGAGTCCTAACAGCTTGCTAATCTTGCATGGAATCTCTCTTTGTGGGGTGGTGTTATTAATCTTACGCAGAAGTGCAAAACATCTTCAGAATTCCCATTACCGAAAGCACCATGAGAGACGGGTTACTGCTGCTCCAACCAGCTGACTTCCAATCTGAACTTTGACTATAATAAGCTACTAAAATATGATGTAGTATGTACTAAACAGCATTATGTTGAGAGCATTAGCAACGCTGTAAAAGACTGATTGGACATCCAGGCACAGCTAGCGCTTGATAAATAAACAGGCGTTATGTTAATTTATATCATTATGCAAAAAAGGCCACAGAGCTACTAGAGGATATTGATCAGTATTTGAGTGTTCACGTGGTTTTGGTATTAGTGTAGTAGGCTACCTCGCCATGAGCTGAGCTTTCTCTTGAAAACAACAATTTTACTTGTTTTCATGATAGAATGATCAGTCTGTTAGTTTGAATATTTTACCAACTTTGTCAACTTTGTATAGTGTTTTTTTGTCCGTCTCATTGGCTACGTTCAGACTGCAGGGCTTAACGCTCAATTCAGATTTTTTTGTGAAATCCGATGTTTTTGCGAGGTCGTTCACATTTCCAGTTAAATGCGACTTGTATGTGACTCCAGTGTGAACAGTAAATGGCCCAAAAGTGTCCCACATGTGACACTGGAGACACGATGAGATCAACCACAGCGAGCGTGCTCTGTGTTTACGGAAGTTGTCCAAACATGGACGCAGCATTGAGCACCTGGAGATTTTAAATTTCCTCTCGTACCGGAGCCAGAACATGAACAACTTACTTGTTTTAAGGAGGAGATTGAGAAGGAGAAGGACGAGGTTTTTGGCCGTGGTGTTTTGTGGGACAGCGGCAGCGACGTCCATTGAAAGGAACATGTGGATGTGCAGACGTAGCCAAGAGTGGTGAGTGGTGATGTGCTTCACTTCAATGACACGGAGTTCATTAACAATTTTCGCCTACTTCAGAGCAGAATAGTGACGTTTGTGGCTTGTTGATAACGTGTAGGTCGAATGAATGCGCTTTGGCCGTTCACACTGAAGTCGTATGTCAAAAGATCAGATATGTATCCCTTTCAGGACCACAAAAGATCAGATACAGGTCACACAGGGGCCAAAAAATCGGATTTGGGTCACTTCAGGCTGCAGTCTGAAAGCAGCCATTAATACATCATCATTTCATCTTCAAAAGTGCACTAAAGAACTTTTTGTTCAGGACTCCGTCACTTGCTTGTTTCTATGGATATGTCATTGCGCTGCCTGGAATGTTCCACAGTATGACATTAAACAGCTCTGCCTTAGATTTAGTTAGTTAGATTAGTTTTATAGCTCAAAAATACCTACAAAAATATCTCCATAGATCTGACCTGTAACTCAGTCTGGTTTGGTTTCCATGAAGATAGAAAGGTTTAATGCCATACTGTAAAACCAGATATAGCAATAACGTCTCCATGGAGAAAAGCATTTGTCAAACCCTCCACCAGAAAAGTTACACAATGCACCTTTAAACTACTGTAGTACAAAGTAACACGGAGCTGGTAAAGCAATGCATTTTACTGGGGAAATGTGCTTATTGCCCATTTGTGGACTTGTTTAGTGGCTGCTGTGTAAACTGTGAGCCCTGCATTTTCAGTAAAAGCAATGACAAAACAGTCACGCTCCAGAAAGTACTGCTGATATGCATGTTAACAACACAAGCAGGAATAAGAACAAAGATTACATTCAGCTTTTTGTTAGCTAAAATCATATGCATTTATATCAATAGTACTTTTTTTTTTTTTTTTTTTTGGATCATATTCAGCTAGAGATCTGCGCGGGACAGTATTTTGAGTCCTGCTCCCGCCCACTCCAGCAAAGAATTGTAATTTTCAGTCCCCCTCCCGCCCGCATCTGCAATATTTTGTCCCGCTCCCGCCTGCAAGTCCCCTAGGGGAGGAAACTTTGCTTTCTTAAACTCTATCAAACACGGAGAAGCGAAAGAAATGGGGCTGTGTATGAGAGGAGGCGCGGTGGGCGATCCGGCGGCATGGTTAAGTCCTGGCTAAATCCTCTTTTAGTCCTGTTTATAGAGCTGTTTGTAGACCTGGTTTAGTTCTGGTTAAGTTCTGGTTTTGTTGCACAGGCAGCACGACGTACGGAAGGAGGGACTGTTCGCCCGGCGTACGGGACGGGGGGGACTGTTCGCGCGGCGTACTTGGAAGGAAGGACTGTCCGTGCAGCGTAAAGGACACGGGGGACTGTCCACGCGCCGTACGGGACGGGTGGGTCAGTCTGCGCGGCGTACGGGAAGGGGGACGGTCTGCTGCTTAAAATGTTTTTATTAATGCCAAATAAAATCTCTAGCACAAATTATGCATGATATGCTTACATTCATCTTTTTAATATTTCACTTTATACTCATATTTAGTTTGCAGGATTGCGGTTTATCATCCCTCCCGTCTGCTCCCGCGTTGTTTAGCCCCACTCCCGCCCGCGCCCGTAGCGAGCTTTGAAAATGTGTCCCGTGTCGCAGTGGTTTGCATTGGGTCCCGCGGGTCTGCAGGGCTCTACTTTCAGCTACACCCACTTGTTAATACAGTGCATCTAAACCTTTCCAATGTCACCAAAATGTTATAGCCTACTGGAAAATATATCACTGCATTAAAGGTACATTTTGCATGAATTGCTCAACTGATAATGTAACTTGATACGAGACTACAGTAAGTACCAATCTGCAAGCCATTGAACATAAACAATGGCCAAAAAATATTAGCAGATAGTGTATTCATTTGCTGCAGCTTTGTATTATAATGCTGTTGTGAGTCACTGAGAGTCCAGCTACACATAGAGAGTTACTCGAGATGACAACATATGCTTTCTTTTGTGAGCTGATTGACTTAAATTGCTAATCATTTCCCTGAGCTAAACTTAGAAAATCATTTGCTGTGAGAGCTTGAAAGACATTTCAGTTTAATTTTTGTGGTCTTGCAAATAAAAAAGAAAATATCTTATGAAGCCAAACAGGGCTGATTATGACGTGTTGGAAAAATTAAGGCTGAATTTCATACACAAATACCTGAGAGGGTAAGTGCCTGGTCAAAAAGCTAAAATAAGCAGCTGATTTTGTGGCAGTCCAGGAATGATTAAAGGTTACAATGATGGGGCTTGATTTTAGCACAGCTCATTTCCTCCTCACAGAACCAATAATAAATAGTTGTGCTCAGAACGCATGGGCGGATGGATTAATCAGCAAAGGTGTTACATTGTTTGAAATGCCACCATTAACCACACAGGCCTAATGAGTGGAAGAGCTAAAGGTCAGTGATGTAAGGAGCAGTGGGAAGAGTACACGCCATTTGTGTGTTATTTATTACACTGAATCAATTGAGACCTTTCACTTCTCGTTTTAAATAATTTACAATGGATTAGAAAGTTAACAGCACATAACCTGATTTTTACCATATTCAAAAAGTGAAAACTAGAACTTGTTCATTTTAAACAGTTTACAGCGTCTGAATGCATGCCCATCAAAAAACAATGTATCTTTAAGAAGTTGCCAATACGATACATACCTCGATACATGGGCCACGATACCATACATATCTCGATACAGTGAGCTTTTGATTCCATACGATATATTTCAAATCGATTCGATATGGTTCAATAAAAAAATAAAGGCTAAATCATGGCTGTGACACTAAAAGTCTTTGTTAAACCACTTCTTGTGCTAAGTTCATGAGAAACGTAAACATTTTAATGATCAAAACAATGAAAATGTCAAATGAGTCGCATATACGAGTTTCCTTTCTCCAAACAAGCAACAAAACTGTGGCACTGTAACAAAATTATTTTGTTAAATATACCAAAAAATACTCTTGGTGATATATCGATACAGCAGCCCACGATATCGATACTGTATCATCATATTAAACAATACGATATATTGATATTTAAATATTTTTGCACACCCCTAGTGCTTATAAGTGGATTTTTTTTTTTTTTTTTTTAATAATTGGATGCAGACAGCACACAGCAGTTTCATTTTAATCCCAAGAGCACCTTTTACTATGCATCAGTACCAGGGCAAAACAAATTTGACTTCATTACATGCAAAACATGGGTATGGCCCCTTCAAGGTTACACTCAGTTTCGATACATAAAATCTCTTAAAAACTTCATGTATAATTTATAAGACCTTTTGTGCTGAATTGCGTTGAGTTTAGTTTTCAGCCATTTGATGATTTGCACAAATAAGATAATAGTTACTAAGCAACCAACCCTTATTTTCTTTGTGGAAATTACAAATGTATGATTTAAAATCAGCCATTGAATTTGCTCTACTGGTTTGCCTAGATACTTTTTATATCAGCACTGTGATTAAAGCATAGTTTCTGCTTTTTCAAGTTTTGAATGGAATAATGAGATTCCACAATTCCCCCATTTGAAGTCGTGTTCTTTGTACCATAACTGCAAGAACATGTAGCACCCACTACTAATCTAATTCAACAGGCTTAGTTCCATTCTTTTACATGCTTTTGCACTAATCCAACCAAAACTGTGTTGTTTCTAAATTACTTTCTCTATCACTCCATCTCAGCACAAGCAGAGCAGATGGCCCCCCCTAGGTCCCTGGATGAAAAACTGCTGATTTGAGTGTACCGTCAAGCTTAATTAATAGCGTCCATAAACGAGTGGTGCAGACTGATATACTTGACAATTTGGCTGTGGTGCCAGCAGGGATATGTGCCCCTGAACAACCACAGCGTTATGGTAATAAAGTCAAAACGTGTTCTAATACTGGCTTACTTTATGATCTTTTAGTCAGGACAATCTCTTCTTTTTTCACTTTTGGCGAGAGTTCAGGCTGCCGGTCACCCTGCAGGAACGTTTTTAATGACATTATGGGTTAGCGTGAGGAAGATGTAGAGGATGAAGCATGGGCTGACATGAGGCGGTGACATAGGTGTATGAAAAGTGCTTAAGCTCTTAACACCGGAGTGAATTTGAAGCCGTTGAAAGCATATGGGGGATTACATGGTTCGCTGATACAGTTTAACTCACCTCATCAGGCCCAGTCATCCAGAAAGAAGCTGATGGTTTAAGCTCGGTGACAGCAGGTGGAACTGTGGTCTCAGCATTCATTAACACATTAAAAGGGTCAGTGAAAAGTTGACTAAAGTATTGTCTGATAAAGAGTGAGGAGATTGACTGTGATTGGCTGACTGTGACAAGAGCAAACAACAAGGGATGGGAGGTAGTCTGTCTGTTTGATTATTCGTGATATGTTCAGTCTCCCACAAACAGCATTAAGTGGAGGAAAAATGTTAAATTATCTTTAGACAACAGTGACAAATTTGTGTTTTACAGAATAATTATTGGTGGATGTTTATTTAAATCCTTATCTCCTAAGTGATAAGGTAGTGTCATGCCTGTTCGTAGGTTTCAGGCATTAAGGATCCCTTCTTGATTTGAAGGATTTTGTGAGGATCTTACACCATTCCAAAGATGTAGTATTTTATTTGAATTGCATTATTACAATGGAAGTCCGCCATGGCAAATCCTTAAAATCAAAAAAGAGTCCTTATGCCTGAAACCCAAGAATAACTAACCTGCTCTTGGTCTTGAACTTTCTGGTTTGGGGTTTGCCAATTTCCTGTTTTGTCTGGAATGTTCTATAATATGACATTAAAGGTCTTATATTATACAAAATGGACTCTTGTGAGATTTAAGCATGTTATGATGTTGGTATCTCTAGTGAAAGTGTATAGTTTTAAAACACAGTACAGCATGTTCCTGTATTTACACATGACATCACAAGGGGGAACAGAGTGTTTCTGCTTGAGAGAAGAACTCGCTCTATAAATATGCAAGATTTGTGTGACTGAAACAAAACACAACTCCAGGTATGTTTTTGAGGAGGAAACAGGTGTTTTAACTGGTAAATAAATACCTTTTAAAAACATGCATTCTTACTTTGAGCAGGCTTGCCTCTTCACAGATCTGACCTGTAACTGTGTGGTGTTGTAACCTCTTCGCTAATGGATATGATTAATGCTATAGTCATCCCCTCTTATATGCCATGGTACAGTTACTTGTAGATTCACCTGTGTTCATTTCCCATGTACCATGCAGGGGTCTCTGGTGTCTTTCTTAGCGTGGCTCAAACAGGAGAAAGGATAACCAGGGCACTTAGTATGTATAGGGCATACCTGTCAGAAAAGCAATTTTCACAGTACACTCTAGCTTGGTTGTTAACAATATTCCTTGCCCTCCCGCTGAAGGGGAAACAGCCGCATGCTCCAGCCACAGACAGAAATAGAGCGTGGTTTTATATTCCTCTCATAAACATGCAGATTGATTAGGGTCATTTTCTGCTAGCCTGCCTCCATCCACCCCAGCCTTTCCTCCATTAGTGATGAAAACCCAGATTTATGGGCACGTCTGTCAGTGCCACTGCATGATTCACTGGCTGCCTGCTTTTATGCAGATGAGTTCCAGCAATATAAAGCGTATTAATGTCATGTGTCCGTGTCCATAGGAGCGAGTACAGGTCGTCAATGGGGCACTGTCTATCAGCCGCCTGACCCTGTCCGATACCGGGATGTACCAATGTGTGGCCGGGAACAAGCACGGAGAGGTGTACTCCAACGCAGAGCTAAGAGTCATAGGTAAGTCTGTGTCAATAATGTTCATCTAAATCAGGGGTGCTCAATACGTCGATCGCGATCTACCAGTCGATCGCCAAGGTCGTGTGGGTAGATCGCCGTGTCTCGTCTCGAGTTTGTGTTTGGACTCGGTCTTGTCTCTCACTCGAGGTCTGACACTCAACAAGTGTGATCATATTTCATTACCGCCGCTGCTGTTGGTAATAAACTTGTAGCGGGTGCAGGAGCGTGTGGGGCGTTTCAGTGCAGCCTGTGCGCTCATTTGAAACCCGCGGAGACTCTACGGCACATCACAAACACACACGCTCCCTATGCACGGCTCGTCTGCAACAGCGTGTGCCCTCGTGTACCAGCGTGCATCACAGGGCAGGTTCAACTTCCTAAACATCCTACCTGTCCATCTGCCTCACGTCAGCACGCCGCCCCTCGCCTTTTCACGCTCTCGCTCCTTCCTGCGTACAGCCAACACAAGCCCCTCCCACAGTGCGGCTGATTAGAAGAACAAGACCAAACGTGAAGCAAAAACCAGTCTAAATTTGTGTTCCAGTGGTGGCACAAAGCAGGTCTACAGCATAGAGCAGATCTACAGAACAGACCTACTGCCACATTTGGCTGAAGTTTGTCTAACAAAAGTGCACAAATGCATCTGTGTTTGTCACGATGTGCATTTGGTTTGGTAAACGTGCAGAGGCTGGTAAATATCACTGCAAAACCACAAAAGAATGCAACTCCAGTTTGGAACTTTAAAAAACTGGTTTAAAAATCTTACCTACTTCCTTCACTTTTTCACAGTTTTGTGTAAAGTGCCAGAGGAAGTTCTTTTAAAGAAGGGGTTCTCAAACTGTGGGTGAGGGTCCAAAAAAGGGGCACAGAGTGTTTCAGTGCAGTTTGCTTGACTTTGTAATAGGTAGATTTTTATGACTTGGTCATTTTGTGAGTAGCTCACATGATGAAAAAGTGTGAGCACCCCTGATCTAAATCAATACTTTCTGATTAAAATGGGACAGACAAAATTATTCTTTTGTTTTGTTTAATCAAATTGTTCTGTATGCATTCTGGTTAAACTACCAGGCTTTCTTGGAATAGATGAGCAATTCCCATTTGTAATTGAAGAGTATATTTTCAAAACAGATAAATGCCTTTTTGAAAAAGTTGGTTTGTATAAAAATATTTTCATCAAATATTTCATCCTTCCTTGCTAAAATCCACTAGACATTCTATTAACTGATAATATCTGATGAAAATTGTAACAACTAGAAAATACAATTTTTTCAAATTGGACATCATTGTGGTCTAGGTGGATTTAATAAAAGTTTGATTTCTGAGCATGTTTTGCAAATGTGACACTTTGCCAAATCAGCTTCAGATATTCTTTTGGACATTCTGTCTTTCCTGGTGGAGTTACTGGTAACCATGGAGTGATTTTTAATTGTTGGACCACAAATTTGTATTCGGATTTACTGTGATATACAAAATTAGCTTATCTTTTACTAAATTCATATTTAGATTGAGTGTTCTTATAGTACATAATATCCCATCCCTCGTTTCACTCTCCTTGAGTTTCTATGAAGCCAGCAAGAAGAACTGTTGAACACTGCAAACTGAGCAGTCCAAACCAAGTCCCATTTCCCTAGACTGTGTAGGTCTTAATCTCTGCTCAGTTCTGTGACAAAAATTCACTTGTGTTTTTTTGTTCAGCCTGTTGCGATAACACATTTTAAAGTATGATATATTGCTGAAGTAAATATAGATAAAACCAAAGCATAGAGCAGAATTATCCCTCAAAAAGTATTCTAAATGTAGTTAGTATACATAATAAATATAAACGTTCATAATTCATATATTGAACGATAAGTCAATGTAGTATTTATCGCGATAGGCTTGTTTTTTCTTCTTTTTTCTTATCCATTCCAGACACTGACTCTTGACTCTCACTGAATTTAACAAGCAGCATCACATAGCAGCAGATGTCTATAACTCTGTAAAAACTGTCTGACCTGGCCCTGACACAGAACAGTGAATAAACATGCATTTGTCTATATTTATCCTCAAGTTTGTTCCTGCTGCAGTGCGGGCGATGACCTCTGACCTCTCTCTTATTGGCCACTAATTGAAAAGCATTAATTATAAGATGAATGGTACGCGTGACAGTGATTTATGCAGCGCTGCTATGTGGAGCTGCCTGGACCTTCCGCCCCGTCAGCCCTGTCACTCTCCCCTCTCATTCTCTATTCATTCTACAGCGTGTCCCTCCTCTCACACTGATTGGAATCTGTCTGCTCACTGCACTGTGGTCAATGCCAGAGAGGAAAGTCAAGTGGGAGCCATTTTCACTACACGCACCGGTTTATTAGTCACCCTAAATGTGCATGTTTAGAAATGCAATACGCTCAATTTGTACAGTAGACATCATGAGAGGATGTTATTGTCATCTAATATGTTAATGGGATACACAAAAATCTAAAAGTACTATTAATATTATTAATATGGCTTGTTACTGCTTAAACATATCGCCCAAGTCATAATTTTGTATGTTTTGTATGTTCCCAAAAACTTTAGTTCATGAACCTGTTAAGGGTTTTAGTAGAGTACACCACAGCAGGATTGCTCTGTACATAACAGTTCTTTTCAGGGCATTAATCCTGGGCAGTGGAAACTTGAAAAGGGCATGTGTTTTTTTTTAGCAGCCAAAGATAAGCAAAAAAGATTATGACATTTCTGTTGCTGGGAAAGTATGACTCTGGGTTCCATGCATACAAAATTAATAGTAGACACAATCACTATCACTATTATGTCCCTATTACTTTGAATATCCATGACCTTAATACATTGTGCAGTAACTCTAAAACTATGTGGACCAAAGCAGATGTGACTACATGTTTCTTCTTCCTCTCTTATCTTAGCTGTGGCCCCAGACTTCTCCCACAGTCAGCTGAGGAGCCAGACTCTGGTGAAGGTGGGTGGTGACGTTCTCATCGAGTGTAATCCCAAAATGTCACCCTGGGGTGTCATCTCCTGGCGCAAGGGCACTGAACCTCTGCGAGAGACCAACAGGTAGGGCCGCAAAGCTTTTCATTAGCTGAATAAATACCACTGAAGATGGGATAATAAATAGAGATAGAAAGATCAACAATAGTAGAAAGATGGTGTAATTCATTTTTTGTGATCATAACCCCAGTGTTCATGTGGTTGTCCTCTCTTTCAACACATTTCAGAATGAGCTGAGTCTGTATTATTAGACAGCTGGGGGAAGGGCTCTTTCATTCACTGTTTTTGAGCAAATGTGTTAACTTACAGTTACTGTAAGTTAACACATTTTGAATTGTTCTTTTGACACATTCTACACCTTAAACATGGCAGAGTGGTTGGCATTCATTGAGATGTTTCTGTCTTGTTTACCTTGATTTGTGTGGTGGGTGATATTGGCAAAAATATGTATCTCAATAATTTGTGTGATTCTCTTCTTAATTGCCTTCTTAATTCACCAGCAGCAGTGAAATGCATGATTGTGTGCATGATATCTTGTGTGACGGTGTTGTACAGGGGGCTCATAGGGGTGAAGCCTGAGGCGTATGCTAAAAGCATGAGATGTGTGTCGGTCCATAACTAAGGGCAGTGTGGCTCCTGTCTTCTTCCAGTCTGGGGTCACCCATTAGGTGTCACCACTCAAGCATGTCTGCAGTGACAGCAGCACTCTCTGCTCAGAGTCTTGCCAGATTTTGCATATATACAAAGCACTGTTGTTGCTTGTCAAACAAAGTGGCTTGGCATTTGCATAGTGCTCACTGCTATGCCCTTCACTTGCCCTAAGCCACTCAGTCACGACTCAGAGATTCTGAATTAGAGAATTACATGCCTTTATTGTTCACAATATAACATTACTCCAAAGTGACTTGGACTGGATGAGGGGTGACTGCAGCATTGCTGAATTAACAGTCAGTTATTATCTCATAACTAGGGATGCGCGATCCAACTTTTTTTCTTTTCTGATACAAATGTCAATACTGTGGCTTTCTATCTTTCTAGCCCCGATATTAACCCAGTACTAGGGTAGAGACTGAAAATAAAATGTATTTCCTTTATACACAAACAGCACATGGTAAAAAAAACTATCTAAATGTGTTTTGTAACTCTTGTTTATCATTTAAATTAACTACAGAACAACTTTGAAAAATATTAAGATGTGTTTTGGGCCAACACTGTTTAGTAAATCATCTTCTCACACAAGCTTACAGACCAAAATGGGATATATTGACAGAACTGATATCTTGGCAAGTATGAATAGTAGTAGTATTGATGTAACTGTCAAATGCATCACAAATGCATATACTATACAATTTCGCCCCCAGTTTTATTCTATTTTGCCTGTAGCTACATACTCCTGGTCTTCTGTTTCCACCAGTTGAGTTCTGCTGGGAGCATGAAATATATAACTGTAAATCTGGCCTACAAGTCTATGTGATGTTTCAAAGTATGTTGCTGTTGGTGTAAATAAATGGCCACCTGTGCGGCTCTCCCAGAGTTAGGGGAATGGGGTACAGATTGCTAATTAAAAAGTCAACAGCTGTAGTGTATATTACAGAGGGCGAGGGCGATATGTGCAGTGCTGCCAGGGCTGGTCTTTTTAGTACAAGATGGAGATTTAGGATCCCCCAAAAATATATCTAAGCCTCCCTTCTCCTCCCATGTTCACATCTTGTAAAAGTGTTTTGCATCTGTTGGGGTAATAATTACACAAGTCTCTTTTAATGACTGCTCATTTAAAGTAGTTTTACAGCGCTGTAGTCCACAGACACGCCCAGGATATTAAGAAAGGTAACATCAGGCAAGTTCGCTTTAATCAGTTTAGTTGCAGTAATTAGCAAGATGTGCTACATTCACTCATAAACAGGCATTACCAATACATTAGCCATGTGCTCAGCAGTGGAGAGTTTGGGCTATTTTAACATGGTGTTTTTACATAGGCAAGGCAAGGCAGGTTTATTTCTATAGCTCAATTCGTGCACAAAGTAATTCAAAGTGCTTTACACAATAAGAATGCATTAAAATCACAATACAAACAAATCAAAACGTCATAAAATTAAAAAGAGAGAGAGACATTAAATGAGAGAGAAGAGTGCACAGTGAAAACCTTTTAAGTTGCATACACAGTCAAACAGAAATGTTTTGAGCCTGGATTTAAACAGCGTCACAGAAGAGTCTATCTCATATGTTCAGACTGTTCCAGGTTTTAGCTGCATGAATCTGAAACTCTGACTCCCCTTGTTTAGTCGTGACTCTGGACACCAGCAGGAGGCCGGTCCCTGAGCTCCTCAGAGTGTGAGATGGTTCATATGACACTAACATGTCACAGATGAACTTTGGTGCTCGGCCATGGAGACAGTTGTACACAAGCAGAGCTGCTGTAACAGTACAGGACAGGAATATAGCCTATGATACTTTGCACTGACACCATTAACATTCCACCATTAGATATACATGTAGGAGTTTTTCTGTTTGTTTGTTTTTTATTATATATATATATATATATATATATATATATATATATATATATATATATATATATATATATATATATATATATATATATATATATATATATATATATATATTATATATTATATATATTTATATATCAGGATCATGATACTGATATATGATGATGATGATGATGATTATGATGATGATGATGAACCCTGATAATATATGATTATCAGGGTTCATCATCATCATCATCATCAGGGTGTACGATCCTGATCCTAAAGGATCCCTCAAAGGGTGCAGTCCCATCCAACTATCGGCCAATAACCTGTCTCTCCACAACATGGAAGCTCATGTCAGGCATCATTGCGGCTAAGATAAGTGGGCACATGAATCAATACATGAGTGCAGCACAGAAGGGTATCGGCAAAAACACCAGGGGAGCCAAACACCAACTCCTGGTTGACCGAACAGTCGCCCGCGACTGCAGAACCCGTAAGACCAACCTGTGCACTGCCTGGATTGATTACAAGAAAGCCTATGACTCAATGCCACACACATGGATCACTGAGTGCTTGAAGCTGTACAATATCAACAGGACTCTAAGGGCGTTCATTGCGAACTCGATGCGGTTGTGGAAAACCACCCTTGAAGCCAAGGGGAAGCCACTTGCACATGTGTCCATCAAATGTGGCATATACCAAGGAGACTCACTGTCCCCACTACTGTTCTGCATAGGCCTGAACCCTCTCAGCCAAATAATCGACCGCACTGGCTATGGATACCGACTCAGAAACGGGGCCACCATCAGTCACCTCCTCTACATGGATGACATCAAGCTGTATGCTAAGAGTGAGCGAGACATCGACTCACTGATCCACACCACAAGGATCTACAGTACAGACATTGGGATGTCATTCGGGCTTGAGAAATGTAGCAGGATGGTGACAAAGAGAGGGAAGGTAGTCCACACAGAGGGGGTGTCACTCCCAGAGGGAACAATAGCAGACGTTGAGGACAGTTACAAGTACCTTGGTATCCCACAAGCAAATGGCAACCTCGAAGAGGCAACAAGGAAAGCGGCTACGGCCAAATACCTGCAAAGAGTGAGGCAAGTCCTTAGAAGCCAGCTCAATGGCAAGAACAAGGTGCAGGCAATCAACAGCTACGCCCTGCCAGTGATCAGATACCCTGCAGGGATTGTAAGCTGGCCAAAGGAGGAGATACAGACCACAGATGTTAAGACACGAAAGCTCCTGACCATGCATGGAGGGTTCCATCCCAAATCCAGCACCCTGAGACTGTACGCAGGCCGGAAGGAAGGGGGCCGAGGACTAGTGAGTGTGGGAACCACTGTCCAGGATGAAACATCCAAGCTCCTTGAGTACATCAAGGACAAGGCCCCGGCAGATGAGGTGCTCAGAGAATGTCTCAGACAGTGGGGTCCAGAGGAAGAGGTGCTGGAGGGACCATCATGGCAGGACAAACCCCTACATGGGGCGTACCACCGGAACATAACTGAAGTGGCTGATATCAAGAAATTCTACCAATGGCTTGAGAGGGCTGGTCTGAAGGACAGCACAGAGGCACTGATCCTGGCTGCTCAGGAGCAGGCCCTGGGCACTCGAGCAACAGAGGCCCAGATCTACCACACCAGACAAGACCCACGGTGTAGACTGTGCAAAGAGGCTCCTGAGACAGTCCAGCACATAACTGCAGGGTGTAAGATGCTGGCAGGGAAAGCATACATGGAGCGACATAACCAAGTGGCGGGCATAGTGTACAGAAACATCTGTGCAGAGTACGGGCTGGAAACCCCAGGATCAAGGTGGGAAACACCTCCAAAGGTTGTGGAGAATGACCGAGCCAAGATCCTGTGGGACTTCCAGATACAGACTGACAGAATGGTGATGGCGAACCAACCAGACATAGTGGTGGTGGATAAGAAACAGAGCAGAGCCGTGGTGGTTGACATCGCAATACCAAGCGATGGTAATATCAGGAAAAAGGAACACGAGAAGCTAGAGAAATACCAGGGGCTCAAGGAAGAGCTGGAGAGAGCCTGGAAAGTAAAGGCATCAGTGGTGCCTGTGGTGATCGGACACTCGGGGCTGTAACCCCCAAACTGGAAGAGTGGCTACAACAGATACCGGGAAAAACAATGGACATCTCAGTCCAGAAAAGTGCAGTACTGGGAACAGCAAAGATACTGCGCAGAACTCTCAAGCTCCCAGGCCTCTGGTAGAGGACCCGAGCTCAATGAGGGTGAGAGACCAACCACCGTGGAAGGTGAGAAACACATTTTTTTTTTTATATATATATTTTACATATATACATTTAAACACCATGAATTTAATTATTTGATTCACACATGGATTAAAACACAATGAAACATCTACAATTGAATGATTTTCAAACATTAGCATGAAATATCAAACATTTCCTCAAACTCTTTTGAAACAAGGCCTCTGATATGCCATCACTAACCAGATGTGAAAAGTTACCATGGTGACACCATGCACACATCAGCTAAAACTGTGATCAATATGAGCATCCATGGTCCTGTTTAGTTT